CTTCCGCACACACTCTCTCACTCGTGTGGAAGTTTTCTCTCTTCTTCTCCTCTTTTTTTTTTCCTCTCTCTCTACCTAAATAAAGTCCACTTCCACACACACACTCTCTCTCTTCTGTGGAAGTTTTCTCTCTTCTTCTACATTTTTTCCTCTTTCTCTACCTAAATAAAATAACTTTTCTGCAAAAAAAAAAAAAAAGAAAGAAAGAATTTTCTGTTTGAAAGAAATTTCAAACAGAAGGGCTGTTCTGGAGAAAGAAATTAAACTTCTGTGACACTTCAAATGGCAAAACTGCGATGGGTGAAAGTTACACATTTAGAGATAAATTTGGCTTCGTGTGAAGGGGAATTCTGCCAACAGAATTAACAAAGCCTGTCCAAGGTTGTTCTTTCAATAGTTTTAACAAATATTTAACAAGCTCCTTCTGATATGTCAGAATTACTGGGATTATAGCATGGATCAATACAGACTAAATGCTGTTCTCATGAAGCACACATTCTGAATGAGGAGGAGCAGGCAAAAAGCTAATGAAAACAAAGATAAATATCGTAACTTCAGATTGTGGAAAGTACTGTGAAAACCTAAAGCAGAGTTGTGTAACAGACATTTGGCTTGTTCACTATTAAAGTGATCTTTCTGAAGGAGTGACATTTGAACTAAAATATGAATAATAAGAAAAAGTCAAAGACATATAAATGTCTAAGGGAGAGTACTTTAGGCAAAAGGAATAGCCAATGCAAAGGTACTGAGTTGCCCACAGCTTGACAATGTACCAGAGGCAGTAAGACCAGTGCGGCAGGCACGTCAGTGAATGGCAATGTGGTTAGAGGTGAAATTGGAGAAGTAGTCAGGAGCCCAATCACTAAGACTTGAACTGAGTCAAAATGGGAAGCCATTGGAGCATTTTAAGCAAGAGAATGAATAATAAAATTTACATTTAAGAACAACACTCTTACTACTGTGTAAATGGGAGTGAGGAGAGGGCAGCAATAGTGGAAGCAAGATCAGCTATAAGATTGTTACAGTAACTCACAAGAGAGCTGCTATTGCTTAGTGATTAGTGATGGCGGCTATACAGAAGATGCAGTGAGGAATCAGAGTATGTTTTGGAGGCAGTGCCAATAGAAATTACATATGTATTGGAGGTGATGAGTGAAGAAAAGAGTAAAATAAAGGATGACTCTAGTTCTTTGACTTGAACAACTGGGTAGATAGTAGTACAATTCAGTAGAATGTAAGCTCCATGTGGAAAGAAACCTTGTTTCATTTCGCTGATGTCTTATTCCAAGTTCCTAGATCAGTAAGTAGCACAAACCAGTGACTCAGTAAGTACATAATGATTATATTGAATATCAGATCTGGGGGAATTAAGAGTTCTGTTTGAGAATGTGAAATTTGAGCCCTATTAAATATCCATTGTTAGATGCAGAGTAGCTACATTTCCAGAGGTCTGGATGGACATTAAGGCTAGGGATATAAATTTGGGGTTCATCAGCATATAGCTAATATTAAAGTCATGGGACTGGTTGAGTTTACTTATGGAGATGGCATAGACTGAAAAGACAGAAGATCCAGACAAGACTTGAAATACTCTAACAGAGAACAAGTAAAGGAGCAGGGATCAGCAAAAGAGATGGGGAAGCTGTATTCATTAAGGTAGCAGGTAATCCAGGAATGTGTGTAGCACAAACGTCAAAAGAAACCTCTGGAGGAAAAAGAGTGCTGTTGAGAGAGTCAACAGTAACAGAGAGGAGGGGTCCCTGACGCTGACAGCAGGAAAGTAATTGGTGAACCCTGACAGAGCAGTATCAGGGAGGAGCAGTTGCTTCACTTAGTAAATTCTTTTGAGTGTTTAAACAAGTTTTTAAAATAAATTGGCATGATAGCTGTCAAGATTATAATGAGAAGATATAAAGCTTATGATGAGAAGATATAAAGACCATGGGGCAAGTAGAAGAGACAATTAAAGACTTGCATCTTCGTAATGTGTCAGTAATGTACATAGTCAAGACAATGGTGGCTGTAGCTGGTTCATATTGGCTCATAAGGACAAATTCCTGCTAAATCTCAGTGCAGCTATTCAAAATAGCCACTATTAAAAGTAAATTTTATAAACATGCAGTAATATATGATACTAAACATAAAGATAATAAATACTCAAAACCAATAACTCTCTCATTATTTTGCTACATTTTAGTATTATCTATGCCCTTGAGGTTAGTAATGAAGACTTAACTTAAAAATGTGTCACATCTATAGCCATTACATTGTCAGTATTTTTTAAACTGAGGAAATATTCTTCCAGCATTCAAGAACTAATATGATTCAACAAGTAAGTTTCCCACTTCACTGGTGAATGATTGAAGTTTTGACGTAAGTCTTTGTTGTTTTGCTTTTGTCTTACTAGTCTAAAGGAAAATCTCAACCAACATTCATGTGGAACTAACTCAGTCATCAGTTGTAGCTATAGATTGATATTGATATGGACACAAGAGTTTGGCAAAACTCAATGAAAGCATTTTGTGACAATTCATTGGCTAATGAAATTTGCAATAAAGAGTATTACATATTTGGCTGGGCGTGGTGGCTCACACCTGCAGTCTCAACACTTTGGGAGGCTGAGGCAGGTGGATCACTTGAGGTTGGGAGTTAGAGACCAGCCCACCCAACATGGCAAAACCTCATCTCTACTAAAAATACAAAAATTAGTCAAGCATGGTGGCATGAACCTGTAATTCCAGGTACTTGGGAGGCTGAGGCATGAGAACCACTTGAACTCGGGAGGCAGTTGTTGCAGTGAGCTGAGATCATGCCACTGTACCTTTGTGATAGAGTGAGACTCTGTCTCCAAAAAAAAGAGTGTTCTGTATTTTGTTATTATTTGCAAATCGCTCACTACACATTTCTTTTCAGTAAAGTTGTTTCCATATGTGTGTGTGTGTGTGTGTGTGTGTATGTAAATATATATATGTGTGTGTTTTCTATATATAAATGTTTCTAAATATATAGGGGTGTGTGAGTATATATATTTATATATCACACATATATGTTTCCTGTATATATATGTTTCCATTATATATGGAAACAAATAAATATATATTATATGTATATTCAAACTTTTTTGGAGAACAAGTTGTTAAACATTTGCAAGTATACCACTGCCTCCCACTGAACAACTGCATAAGCCCCAAAATCAAATTCATGCCCCTGGGTGTTAGGGTCTGGCTAATGGAACTGGCGGTAGAATTAGAGATGAGAGTGGAGAAAGTAGGTATACATAACTGTTTGGGAAGCTTCAGAATAAAGGGGGCAGTAGCTAGTGGTGGATTGGGGTCAAAGAAGATTTTTAAAGGAAGAAGATATGAGAATGTATCATATGCCTTTGGGAATGATCTAGGAAATAAGAGAAAGGTTGATAATAATGGAGAAATATTATTAAAGGAATAAAATCCTTGAGAAGGTCAGAGGAAACCAGAGTAAAAGCATAAACGGAACTACTACAAACCTATTAGAATGGCCAAAATCCAGAACACTAACAAAACTCAATGCTGGTGAGTATGTGAAGCAACAAGGACTGTAAGTCATCAGTAGTGGAAATGCAAACTAGTTTAGCTGCTTTGAAAGACAGCTTGGCGGATTCTTACAAAACAAAACATATTCTTACTACACAATCCTTTACCCAGTGGAAATGAAAGCTTATTTACACTCAAAAATCTGCACATGGATGTTTATAGCAGCTTTATTCACAGTTACCCAAACTTGGAAGCAACCAAGATATCCTTCAGTAGGCAAATGAGTAAATAAACTGCGGGACATCCAGACAATAGAGTATTATACAGCACTAAAAAGAAATGAACTATCAAACTATGAAAAAACGTAGAGGAACCTTAAATGCATATTACTAAGTGAAAAAAAAATCTGAAAAGCCTATATATGATTCCAACTGCATAACATTCTAGAAATGCCAAAACTATTGAGATAGCAAAACATCACAGTGGCTGCCAGGAGCTTTGGGAAGGGGGGAAAGATGACTAGGCAGAGCGAAGAGGATTTTTAGGGCAGTGAAAATACTCTGCATGACAATGTAATGACGGATATGTGTCATTGTACATATGTTCAAACTCATAAAATATGCAAGACCAGGAATGAACTGCAATGTAAACTATGGACTTTGGAAAACGATGTTATTATTAATTGTTTCTCATAAAATGCTTTCACTGAGTTTTGCCAAACTCTTGTATCCAGCATCAGCCTATGGTTGCAATTGATGACTGAGTTAGTTCCAACATGAGTGCTATTTGAGATTTTCCTTTAGCTGAACTAGTAAGACAAAAGCAAAACAATAAAGATATGTCAAAACGTTAATCATTCATCATTGTAAGTTCATCAGTTACAACAAATGCACCACTCTGTTGAGGAATGTTGATAATAGCAGAGGCTATGCATGTGTCAGTACATGGGAAATCTCTGTATCTTCCTCTCAATTTTGTTGTAAATCTAAGACAGCTTTTAAAAAATGAAGTCATAAATACAGAAATTAGGAAGACAATTTATATATTTACTAGAAGGTAGAGGGTAAGAGAGATATAATGGCAAGATTACTTTTAATCTTCATTCTAAATCCTGAGAAGCTAAGATTTAGATATGAGAAATATAAATTTGGCACATTTAACTATAACTATTCCTAAAAGCACTCTGAAGTTAGTGTTCCTGATTTTCAAGCTGCATTTTTTCATTTTAAGTGTTTAGTGACCATTTATAGAAGTTCCACATTTTGCAGGAAAGAGCAAAATAGTGAGCAGGTTTTTCCTTTGCTAATACTTTCTTGCAATACCCAAAAATGAGGATTCTATTTCCTCTCTCTGCATATATTTGGGAATAAGTTACACATCATTGCTGCTGTTGCAGCTGCTGTCCCTCACTGTAGACAAAGCTTTCCAAGGCAGAGGGAGGCCAGCTGAGGGTAGCATCTCTGGTAAGAAAGTTTTAAAATGTCTTACTTGTTACACCAATAAGAGTTGTAATGGCCAGATCCTGGAACAGAAACTGGTAATTTGAAAGGCTGTTTGTCTTCTGAAAACAAGAAGAAATCAGATCAAAAAGTTGTGGCCTTCTGGATGAAATTAGACATTGATCACATTTATTTTCTCACGAGACACAGGGTTTTTCAAGTAACTACTGTGGAGATGCTGTGGCTGGGACCTGGTTGAGTTGATGAGTGATGGTGTTGGTGGAAGTAATCAAAGCCAAACCTGTGAAACCTTCTCTCTTCAGGAGGGCCGTCATCGTGTGCTTTAGGGGCACACGATGTGCATTGTTATTAATCTGTTAAGGAGGACATCTTCCCCTACCAGATTCATCTCTGTTCTCTTTTCTACTTGTTAACAGAAAATTTAGGATTTCATCTCACACAATAAAAGAATACATTCCTTACATAAATTTTACTGATGGAAAATGAGAATAAGTAAACCCACGATTTGCATTCTTGAATGTTTTTAGACAAAATGTTAGAAAATCCTAGCAAAGCATCTTAATACTCTTGAGGAAAAAGTTCAAGTCTTACCAATTTTAAGAAACTCACTTTCCTGCTCCCCAACACTTAGTGGAAGGGAGATAATGCTTAATTCTACTTTTGAGTATAATTTGAGAATTCTAAAATACAGCCAAATTTCCATAAATAGCCTATTCTTCTCTAGCCCATTTATCAGTGAGTAGGAAAAGATACAGTTAATCTGAAAGCAATAGAACTAAAACCTTTAACCCAGGAAAAAGAAAGCAGTATATAAAGATGATGAAATTTCCCTTGTTGGAGTAAGCTCCCATGTTGAGTTCATAGACAATGGGCATATTTATTCTCCTTTTATATCTTGCTAAATAATAAAAGTCATCAAAAGACCTATGTATTTTTGGTGATATGATATGCCAATTTTCAAATCCCTATATTGAGGGAACCAGTGGCATGCTGGCTTAGACTGGCACTGAAAAGTCAATTGCTAAATTTTCAGAGATGTTGTGACCTGGTTGTTAAACAAGGCCAGTATAAAAATTTAAATTAAACCAACGTACCATTAAATAAATTATACAAAAACCAAAGTTAATAAATACTCAAAGCTTAGCATTTTCTGATATTTCTCTACATTTTACTCTTACCTGTGCCCTTGAGGTTATTTCAACTCTTGTATCTATATGGTACAAGTTCTACAGAATGATATACTGCTGTACATCTTTTCTCCACTTCATGTTTAGTGACAATGGAGAGACAGCTTGAAACTGATTATGATAGGAGTATTTACATCACGGAAATGGGCAAACATTAATAATCAGGTCTTATTTTTCTAAGGAGGTTCAATTATGAAGCATTTAGCAGCACCCAATGTGGAGAACTATTTCTTTAGCGAGTGGTAGACTAGGGGAGAGCCACATTGGAATTAGGAAGATAAAGACCAGGTCCAATCAGGTAAAAGTAAGAGCAAGAGAAAATGCAATATATTTAGTTGTGATCCTCAGCTGTCACTAGATAAAAGATTTCTATATCAGAGAATTGACATCAGCAACTTTTCCTGTAAAAATTTGTCTAATTCTGATTTACTTTAAAAATTCTTAAGGATATTTTTGGAAGGGCTATTGCTGCTCAGATATCCTATTTGTACTCTTTCTTTAAGAGGCATTGTAAATTGAGAGTGCATCACTACTTTAGTTCACACTAACCAAGAGGCTAAGTCCCAAGTCATACCCAGTAGAGCAGCAGAACACCAACATACTGAATCATGCTGTACAGAGCCATGTACTTAAACATGCAAAAGGAGGTAACGAGAGCTGCACGTCCTTCCCTGTATAAGAAAAGAAATGAAAAAGACATGAAGTGAAAGTAATGAAAAGAAATAAGGTCAGTTATTCTGTGCTGTTCAGCTGAGCTCAGGAGAAAAAAATCAAAAGTCATTACACAACCGTTTGTCTGAAAATCGACAGCCTTGAGGTGGTGGATGCTGGCTGTCAGTAAACTGAACAACACGATTTTTAAGAAAGACCAATTCCAGGCCAAGTTCCAAGTGCCTTAATCTGGTGATGGAGTCCAGATTTACAGTTGCTTATGTCCTTTCAGCAGGCATTGATTTAGCTCCTGAACTCAGATCAGGGGACCTGGGAGCTAGTGCCAGATCTTATACCTACTCACTAATGTGACATAGAAGATCATTTCTTTTGTCTCAGTTTCTTCATCTGTGACCTAGTGGATTTAAATAAAATTGCAGATTTGGGGTTTATTTTCATAATGAAGACTCGGGAGCTTGGCAAACATTGGATTCAGATTTCATTTTGGCAGTCCCAGCTTTTTCTAAAACTGGACTAAAACAATATGTACACTTAAATTAGTCATAAATCAAATTGAAATAGGCTGGAAAGGATGAGCATTTTCTTTCATTTGTGTTATTGTCAATTGATTGAATAATACACATTTAAAGCATGAAATAGATGACATATGAAATGTCACTTTTATCTATTTCATTTGGGGAAAATTAGAGTCTAAGTTATACTTTTACATTTTAAATTATTATTATTATTTTATGAGAGAGTCTTGTTCCATCACCCAGGCTGGAGTGCAGGGTCTTGTTCCATCACCCAGGCTGGAGTGCAGTGGTATGGGAAAACCTCTCTAAGGCGGTGGGGAATAAGGAAAAACTACCTCTGGGCAGAGGAAATGTCATGGCAAAACTCTGCTACAGTAAAAAACCTGGTTTGAGGATTTCAGCTGACTGCAACCTCCACCTCTCAGGTTCAAGGGATTCTCCCACCTCAGCCTCCTGGGTAGCTGGGATCACAGGCATGCGTCACCACATCTAGCTAATGTTTTTGGTTCTTTTTTTTTTTTTTTTTTTTGTATTGTTAGTAGAGAGAGGGTTTCACCATATTGACCAGGCTGGTCTCAAACTCCTGACCTCAGGTGATCCGCACACTTCGGCCTCCCAAAGCGCTGGGATTACAGGCATGAGCCACTGCCCCCAAACTACATTATACTTTTTTAGTTTAAGTTTAAACTCATGCCCGTTATGATTTCCTGGGGTACTAAAACCTGATCCTCAAACTAGGTTTTTTCTGTATCAGAGTTTTGTCATGACATTTCCTCTGCCCAGAGGTAGCTTCTCCTTATCAGTATCAAAATCAGTAATCTCCCTTAGTTTCTGACACTAAATGCCTACTCACTAAATATTTGTCAAATGCATGTATAAATAAAAAATTGGGAGGACTTAGCCAAAGTATTATTTTAATGTGGTGGAAGAGTGTATCTGCAGATAAATGACATTTAAATAAAATTAATTCTAAAACAATCTCTAACCTTACATGGCTGTAAGTGCTTGGGCATATCAATTAAATTTTCTGAACTTCAGTTTTTTTATTTGTTAAAAATAATAGCCATTCCTGCATCCCCAAGCTGTTTTGAAGATAGTAGACATTATAGCATTTTTAAACTATAAACACATGTCAGTTATAATAACCAAGAGCAGCCACCATGCTAACTATCTGTATCATTCAAATACAATGGAGCAGAAGTACATTTTCGGCAGAGTGGCAGTGGGGGAGAGCATCAAGGCAAATTTTAGTGAAAGCAGCAAAAGTCAATTAAGATTGTGAAAACTTTATTTTTCAAATAAAAATTGAAAAAGAGATAGATAACATTTGAAAAATGAGGATGACTGACACTTTCAAAGCAATAACAAGTTCCAGACTCCAGTCTTCTAAAAATAACCTAATCAGTGAATTCATTGGAAATGCCACTGCTCTCCCAATGTTACTTTTAACTTCTGGAAAATCCATTTGGAAGAAGAAGAATGGTTGACCGCATTCTTCCACAAAGCACCCTCCCCACTCAGGGACACGTTTCTCTGGTTGTTCCCAGGCAGAACAATGTGATTTGCACCAAAGGTCAAGAGAGAGAAAACCATGTTTGAGGAGGTGCCTACTTACTTGATAAGGTGAGGTACGCACTCAATGTTTGGAGTTTTGGAAGTGAAAGGTGAGGCCACAGATGCCTCCTGCTCTGATAAAGAGATGCCCACATGAGCCATTTTCAGAGCCTGAAAGCAAAGAATCAGCTTACTCCCCACATAGACTCATAGACGTCTCTGCTAAAGCCTCATAAGAAAAGGCCAGTTAAGCTGGCCACAAGGTGGTTTGTATGCCCAAACTCTAACCAAGAGACTTAACCCTGCCTGCAATGTAAGAAAAAGATGGCATTAGGATGCCCAGCCAAAGAAATGAGAATTCCAGAACCAAATTCTTCCCCACGTAGCCTAAACTAACCATTGACTCATCGTGTGACTTTGGTCAAAAGCCTCCCAATGCAAGTTTATCCATCAAGATGAATGGAAATGGTGTATATCCCAGGAGTACTACCTCTACAGGGCTTATGTATAACTGAACGTGAGATTATGGCCACACACACTGGCAGCTACTTACCCCGCAGTCATTGGCTCCATCACCACACATACCTACAAAGTAACTAAGAGGGAACCACATTAATTGTAGAGGACATCAAAGCTATCTTGCTAATTTCTCTAATTAACAAAACCAAGTGATCATCATTAGGGTTCAAACTCATTATTTAAGAGAACTGAAAAAAGGGTAATTTTTTGACTAAAAAAAGGGTAATTCAGCAGTTTATACAATAACTGTTAAATGTTCCATGTAGACACTGCACGTCACTGCATAGGGAGAGCTTTCTCAGCTGTAAAGCAGAGGGGCTCACAATTATATGATGTAAGTATGGCATGGCAGAGAGGGCACAGGATTTGAAACCAGATCGATGTTGACCTGGCCATCTTACCATTTTCACTATTATTATTATTCCCATTATTATGATTATTTTGCCTACAAAATGCTATGAGTATTAAATGAGGTGCTTTATGGGAAAGTGTTCAAGTCTAAAGTGATAACAAGTCATAGTGGTTTGTGCTGTTAATACTGGCATGAGAGGAAATCCACCCTGTCAACAGTCACTCAAGTATGTAATGCCAGGCCTAGAAGCTGAAGAAAGAAAACACATTCCTACTTCACAACGGCTTTTTCAGGATGCGTGAATACTCTCTTGAATCATTGACAAGGATTATCGATAGCCAGCTTTTAAAATTATGCACATTCTGACAGCATTCATAGAATATGCTGTACTTTTCTTCCACACTGCTATGTGGAGGTAACTCATTGACTCCCTAGGTTTCAGCCCTGTTGAAAAGACAGGGCTTTCCAAACTGAGAAGCTAGCCTGATAACGGAGTCAAATGAATGGGAGGACAGAGTAGAAATGGGTAGGAGTCAGAATCATGTTGTTGTGACCCGGTGAGAAAAGTGGTGAAACCCTCTGGTATTTTGTGGGGTTCTATTAACAGGAAACAAAGGGTCCCAAATGATATGGGCACTTCATTTGGACTGCCCATTCTGTCTAGGAATGGAGACCCTTTGTGTTAGAAGAGAAAAATTTTTCTGATTTAGAATGTGAAAGAATGCTTTGGCATACAAATAATGTAGTATTTTTAGGGTTACATGAATCTCTTGTCATATGAATCTCCCTATGTCATCATAGTGATGACAGCATATACAAATAAAGTCTAAATTCCCATTCCCTCCGGGAGCTGAGCTCCAGCTACCTTTTCAGTCTTATTTCTCCCCATACTCTTTCAGGCCCCTTAGGTTCTAGTGCAGTGATCCTCAACATCAAACGCAACATTGACTTACGTGAAAAAAATACTGATTTTTCAAGCCCCGTATAAACAAGTGAATCAGGATGTCTGAATGGTGGGATCCCTTGGTATTGCTATTTTTCCCAAAGCTCGCAAGTGACTACCTCATGCAGCCAGAGTAAGGACCACTGCCCTTGCCAATCTGAGTGACTCCCTGTGCCTCTTCCACTCCCCCTGACTGCCATGCCTCCATGCACTTCATGCCACCTGCACTGGCAAAGAACCTACTCCAGTTTCTGAAATTCTTCCACCAGACTGGATTTCTGCCCGGGAGACATTCTTGCAAAGATGGTCCCATTGATCAGTATCTGTAAGGAACCCAAAATGGAGATTTTTTTTTTTTATCAAGTCAACCGGTTGGACATGAAATAATTGATAACACTCAGAATGTTGACTGTATCATGACACTTACGATAAAGAAAAAAAACAGTTTCCCATGAGCCTTCCTTTGTATTGTAAGACAAACACTGAGGGTTTGGTCATCAGATAAGTTGTCAGTGAAAAACAAAAATCAGTAAAGAGAATCACTTAACAAAAAATATTTTATGAAAATGGTGACCTACAGGAATTTACCTCAGCTGCCACGGGGAATGTGGTCCTGAAAAATCTGGGGCTTAATGGAACCTTGAACTGCAAAACAGCAGGAGGTTGGGGGCCAACTATGTATCTAAAACTTACCTCCCTCCTACTAAAGCTTTAAGTTTGACCTTCTTGAGTACAGAGGTCATCTATCAGAAAACGAATGGTGTTCCTTTATTCTTGGTCTCCTCCCTGTATAATTGCAGGCTTTCCATTACACTTTGAGACCCCTTACCAGGGCAATATATTGACAGCCTCCTAAAATCATCTTTACGATTCAAGAAATCACTGACACTTCAGTCGTATAGATGGTGGAAAATTGACTAATCAAGTTTATTTATTTCCAACCTAGTAGGAAATGAGACAATAGTATCCTCTACAAAAATGTTGGTCTCTCTTAAGATACAGAGGACTCACTGAATATGTTTTACCTGTTTCAAGATTTGAAATAATTTACAAGCATGCTCTGTAAGTGACATCATCAGCATTTTCACAGGGAGATTGTTACCCTCTTAGAACTTACCTTTGGCAGTAAGCTGCTGAAATGTTGACTTATAACATGAAAGGATTTTCCAGTTAGGGCAAAATGGTAACTTCCTTCTCTGTCGTTATCAGAGACTTCACCCCTCATGTTAATGTAATTGTCCTACAAAGCAAGACACAGTTATTTTAGACTCCTTCATTTGACAGAGTGGTTAGAACCACAAGCATATCTGAAAGAAGATAATGAAGACAGCCCAGGATCTCTCTGTAAAGATCACTCTGATTCCTCAGAGAAGCATTTTCTTTTTTCTGGATCAGTCTTTGCACATCACAGACAACTACTGAACAGGAGGATAACACTTACTCATGTCCTGTTTTTATTCTGATTTGATCTTGGTAAGTCCCAGAGAAGGGCACATTTCACACATTTCAAGTGTAAAATACAAAAGCACTGCAGCTTAACAAATTTCTCCCTGAAATGATAACTTACTTTTTTTTCCTTAGGGAATTAATATTGTTCTACAAGGATACAATGGAGACTGAATACTGACAAGACTGGCAATAAATGAATAAAACTTTTTTTCTCACCCTGAAAACACAGTCTGATTTTCTGACTGTGTTTTCAGGGTGAGAAAAAAGTTTCACACACAACAGCATCTGTCCCAAGAACTGGATCCCCCGTTTAACCCAGTGGGGTGGTTGACAAGCAAGGGCAAAGGGAGAAGTTAGATTCAGCTCCACTCATTATATTCTTTCTCATACAGGGCCAACCATTTTTTAAGTTTAAAAGATGGATTCTTTCCAGCACACAGGAAAGCCCTGTATCTTCAAGCTAAGTAAGAAAAGTATGGAAAAACCAATGCAATTGAGTTCATTCAACAGCATATATGTTAGAAACTTGGAAGCGTATGTTGACTCTAGGTCAAAGCTGCTTAGTCACCAACACTGTGAGACACATTGGTAATGTGGCAGAAGGTCTGTGTTCAGGAATACCTGATTCTCATATGTAACGTGTTTCTTCTCTTCTACTAATGTCCAAGATATAGATGCTGATGAGGACCCAGTGGTTTCATTTGCCTCAATGAGAATGACTTTCTGGCTTTTAGAAACCATTCCAGATTTTCTGGCCACTGTGATGGCAGTCTGAAGATTGTCACCTAGAGGAAAGGAGGAACATCTCAAAATGAGGCTAGCAAGATAGAACTAATTCATGCAGAGCCTAGAAAACCAGAGTGGGGAGTTCAGTCCTTATTTCAGGTATGAAGAGAAATGATGCCTAACATCTTTTCAGCCCTGACTTCTGTGACTCCACGATCCCTTTTCTGGCTCTTACTAATTTTCATCAAGTTACTTCATATTCTACCAGTGTGTTTTTGCCAGACTAAGGGAGAAAATGAAAAAGCAAAATCCAAATCTATTTTCATCATTTGTTAGCAGCTTTCCAAGTGTTTAGGCAAATCCTCTGGTTTAGTAGAGTATCTGGTGGTTCCACTTCTAGTCAAAATGGAGTAAGCCCACTACGATCTCTCTCCCCCACTGATTACAATGGAAAACTCTGAACAAAAACCAAGAAGCAACTCCCCAAGGACTTCGAAAAGTAAACAAAAGCAGGCAGGTGGTGGGAGGGAGTCAAAGTTGTAGAAGCAACCTACAAGGGAATGAGTTTCTCAGCTCTTTTTCTCTTCCCTCTTCCATATTTGACTGGCATGTGGGCCTCAGTTAAGAAGCTGTTTGGGCAGCAGAATTCCAAAAGACACCCAGTCTTTCTGGCCAGAGGAGCCAGGAAAAGGGACACTTGTAGGCTAAAGAGCATGGGAAGAATCCTGGAAAGAAGAGAGCCAGACACGGGGACTAATTCAGTACATGAATTACATAAGTCTCAAATTCAGCCCAGAGCTGTGCGTGTGTGGATCAGATCCAAAGAAAGATAACAAAAGCTTCAGGAATTAAACTATGATATAAATCACCCCCATTTGTGAGAGTAACCTCTTAATGAGGCAGACCCAAACATCATAGCAAAAGATTTTATATTTAAGCCAATATTAGAACCACCACCTTCAACAGGAAAGATAGAGGTTATGGGTGATTGCTAGCCAACAAACAAACAAACAAACAAAAAAACCCTCAACATTCTCCAGAGGATTATAACAGGATTCGAAGTTTCACAACATAATATTCAAAATGTTCAGGCTATTCAACATGAAAAATCTGGAAAATCTGTCCAATTCTCAAGTCACAACAGTTGCCAATCCCTAAATAGCCTAAATGTTGGAAGTATCAGATAACGGACTTTAAAGCAGCAATTATAATCCCCCTTACTGTGTTAACTGTTAGTATTCCTGAAATGGGTGGAAAGATGGAAGTTCTCAACAAGGAAATATAAACTGTAGGAAAAAAACTGAATAGATATTTTAGAATTAAAAAATATGATACCTGAAATTAAAAAAAAATCACTGAATGCACTCAATAGCAGAATAGATCAATGGAAATTATACAACCTGAAGAACAGAGAAAAAAAATAGTTTTAATGAACAGACTCAAAGATATCAAAACAACTGGTATTCATGTCATTAGAGTCCAAGGAGAGGAAAAAAGGTTGAAAAAGAAAAAAAAAATGAAAAAATAATAGCAGAAATTTTCCCAAGTATGATTTTAAAAAACCTTAAATTTACAGATTCAAGAAGCTCAGTGACTTCCAAACAAGATGAACTTGGTGAGAATCACAAGCAGACACATAATAATCAAAATGCTAAAAATCAAAGATAAACAAAAAAGCAGTTAGAGAAAACCACATTACATATAAGAAAACAGTAATTCAAATTGTCACAGATTTCTCATCAAAAATATGGAGGGAAGAACATAGTGGAACAACATCTTTGAAGTGTTGACTTCATCTTTCACTTTGAAGTGTCAACTCTGACTCCTATAGACGCTGAAACTATCCTTAGGAATAAAAGAGAAACAAAGACTTTATCAGATGAAAGAAAATGAAGATAATTGGTCGAAAGTGGATATGCTCAAAAGAAAAACAACAACAAAAGCTACAGGGTTCTTCAGGTTGAAAGGAAATGATACCAGAGGTTAACTTGTAACTTAAGAAGTGAAAACATAGAAACAGAAATAATAATCATCTGGGTAAATATAAAAGTCTAATTTTCTTTACTCGTGTTCTTTAACACTTCAGTATTGAAAGTAAAGACTATCTCACTATCTGGTGGGGGTTTTCAACATATATCATACTTATGACAATAATGACATAAAGGAGGGAAAGCAAGAGATATTCCTGGTTATAAGGCTTCTTGAAAGGAAAGGTATGTATGTTGTGATTCTGAGAGCAACCATTAAAAAATTAATCATATAACATCTGGCTGGCTATCCTTAACATAGCTTCTCCCAGGTTTCTACCAAAATGTGTACGAAGATTCTCAAAAGAGCTGTGGGAAGGAGCTACCTGAGGCTGGAAGGATACAGGGAGCCCTGAACATGCCCCAGCAGGCCCCTGACAGCCTGTCTGCTTTTTGCCATCTGCCACCTGTGAGAGATCCACTGATCAGGATAAACATCCCAGGCCTGAGCACCAATCACTTGACCAAAAAAAAAAAAAAAAAATCTAACAACCTATCTAAGAAATCCGAGACGCTGAACAGGAAAGATCAGGAGGAACAATCAGAGCGCATGACTAGTGAAGTCAAGAAGCTGCTAGAGACAGATGAATCCTGCTTTAAAAATAAGGAGAGCAGGCTGGGCGTGGTGGCTCAAGCCTGTAATCCCAGCACTTTGGGAGGCCAAGGCGGGTGGGTCACGAGGTCAAGAGATCGAGACCATCCTGGTCAACATGGTGAAACCCCGTCTCTACCAAAAATACAAAAAATTAGCTGGGCATGGTGGTGCGTGCCTGTAATCCCAGCTATTCAGGAGGCTGAGGCAGAAGAATTGCCTGAACCCAGGAGGCGGAGGTTGCAGTGAGCCGAGATCGCGCCATTGCACTCCAGCCTGGGTAACAAGAGCGAAACTCCGTCTCAAAAAAAAATAAAAATAAAAAAAAAAATAAGGAGAGCACTTAAGAAAACTCAAATGCAGCAAAAAACATTTTCTCGAGCAACTCCCACCACCCCATACAAGATTTAAAAACTGAACGACTCAAAAAGGGGGTTTGAAAAAGATAATGAGCATTGTTGAGACCTAAGATTGTGGTTTGAACAAACTGGGTGCAAAAAAAGAAAAAGTCTTAAAGCAAAATTATAAAAATATACAATCTAAAGCCAGGCACAGTGGTGCACGCCTGCAGTCCCAGTTACTCAGGAGGCTGAGGCAGGAGGATCACCTGAGCTCAGGAATTCAAGGCTAAAGTGAGCTATGATCAACCCACTGCACTCTAGCCTGGGCAACAGAGCAAAACCCTGTCTCTAAAAAATAAATAAATAAAATACGACAACTACAAGGAAAAAAGATAGACTGAGAGGATAGAAAATAATGAAAATTCCAGAAGTAAAAATGGAAAGACAGAGAATAGAGGCAAAAATTAAATAAACAATAGGGGAAATTTTTCCGGCAGGAAGAAAGATTTAAAAAGTGCTCTCCATGTGTCTCCCACTCCTATCTCTTCTTGATTCTGGGGAAGTCTGGTTCTAATCACTGGTTTCCAGGGATTGATTCTAAAGCCTTGGATCACAGAAAGAAGCAACAAGAAACTGTACTCAACTCAAAACTTTTTAAGTGAATGAATCATCAAAACATTGCTCCATTCAGAGAACAGAGTTAAGACCATTAAGTTATTGTTACAAGAGGTTACATATTTGGTGATTCAGTTATATAAACTAATGTTCTTGTTGTAAATATGACACTTTTTGCAATCTATTTTATCATATGTATAACATTCAAAGTGACAAATATTATGCTGACTTAAGACTATGTCACAAAAATTATTTTTAAAAAAGTTTTCTAAAAGTGCTCTCCATGTTCCAGATGAAGTTAATGAAATAAGGCAAATGCAAAATGAAACATTTCTAAATTCCAAAGTTAAAAAGATTACGTGCAGAACATGTATGTTCGTAGTGGCACTGTTTACAATAGCAAAGACCTGAACCAACCCAAATGCCCATCAACGATAGACTGGACAAGGAAAATGTGGCACATATACACCATGGAATACTATGCAGCCACAAAAAAAAATGATAAGTTTGTGTCCTTTGTAGGAACATGGACGAATCTGGAAACCATCATTCTCAGCAAACTGACACAAGAACAGAAAATCAAACACCGCAAGTTCTCACTCATAGGTGGGTGTTGAACAATGAGAACACAGGAACACAGGGAGTGGGGCATCACACACTAGGGTCTGCTTTGGGGTGGCCAAGGGAGGGACAGTGAGGGGGTGGGGAGGGACAACATGGAGAGAAATGCCAGATGTAGGTGATGCGGGGATGGAGGCAGCAAACCACATTGCCATGTGTGTACCTATGCAACAATCCTGCATGATCTGCACATGTACTCCAGAACCTAAAGTTCAATTAAAAAAAAAAAGAGAAAAAAAAGATTATGTGCAGAAAAGAATTACTTACACGGACTCTGACTGGACTTGTCATGTGCGATATCAGAAGCCAGAAAGAAAAAGGAATAGCCTCTACATATAGATCATTAAGAAAAAAGAACGATAATTCAAGAGTCCTATATCTGAGCAAGATATCATTCACCTGTCAGAAAAAAGTAAGCTATTCAAGCATATATAAGAAATCAAAGAGCATATCACCCCTCTATTCCATCCAAGGGCAATACTCGAGGGAAAAAAAAATTTGTAAACAAACAAGGAAAGAAACAGAGCCGAAATTTCAATATGAGAAACGCAGAAGAAAAGAGAGAGGGTGAATGATGAACTCTTGTAGATAAACAAGTTAAGGATAGATTATGAGAATGTGTCATATAAGTGCTAAACTAGATAAAGATTTTTGAAACAGAATGGTTACAATGTAAGGGAAATCCTAATAAACAGTAAATTAACTCAGCAACTTCGAAAAGTTGGATTGGGGTGCCAGAAAGGGAAAAAGTAAAAGCAGTCCAGGAGACTCTTGGATTGTGGGAAGTAAAACAGGGGACAGAGGAGTACAAAAGAGGAAATAAAAGTATTCTAGAGTTTGCAACTGTAGAATTGGGCTCGGCGGACGTGGGGACATAAAGTGCCTGCTTTGATGGGGAAATAATGTATCTTCACGTTAAAAACATCTGACTATCAAAGCAGAGAAAAGAAAGGCAATACACACCCCAAAAATGTGAACATGAATTCATTAGGAAATCATTTATTCACCTCTAGTCTCTTTTCCAATTAAAAAATTATAGCATCAGTGTGAAATTTCATTAATAAAGTCACCCTTAATTTCATTAAGAAATTTCACACATTTCTCTTGTGTGATTCCTTTTCATTGCTCTCTTGTTTGTATGATTTGGAGTTTGGGGATTAGGAGTAGAGAGGACAGCATTTTCTTAAATTTCTAGAATAGTGGATTTTATGACTGATGAGCCTTCAGCATGGTTTATAGACCCCATCAACTAAGGATGCTTCTTTTTCTAACATTTGACAGTAAAAATAATCTTTGCCTGGCTCATGTCTTCTTGTCATTCAGGTCTTAATTCGAATGTCACCTCTCAGAAAGCCCTCTCTTAACCATCTCATCTAAAACAGATGGTCAAACACACTTTCCCACATTATCCTATTTGTGTAGCTCAGAACGCTGATACTATTTGATTGACTGGTTGATTTTCTCTCGTTCTACTGACATGGAAACTCAGGGAAAGCAGTAACTGTGCCTCTTTGTTGCCCATCTCTAGCACCTGGAATGGTGTCTGGCCCAGAGTAGTCAACAATATTTATTAAATGAGTGAACCGTGTCTATTTCCACATCAAATTCTTACTGTTTCTAAGAACTCACCTGTGATCATCACAGTCCTTATCCGGGCTGAGATGAGCTCTTCCAAGACAGGTTTTGTCTTTTCCTTCAATCGATTCTCCAAGATCAGCAGCCCCAGAAATATCAGGTCTGATTCTACCTTCTCCCTGAAAATACATATATAGATGTATTGAACAGAAATAACACATTACAGCTCTCTTTTTTCTTTTTTGAGACGGGAGTCTCTGTCATCCAGGCTGGAGAACAGTGGTTCAATCGATTCTCCTGTCTCAGCTTCCCCAGTAGCTGGGATTACAGGCACCTACCACCACGCCCGGCTAATTTTTGGGTTTGTTTGTTTGTTTGTTTCTGAGACAGAGTCTCACTCTGTCGCTCAGGCTGGAGTGCAGTGGTGCCATCTCCGCTGACTGCAACCTCCACCTCCCAGGTTCAAGCAATTCTCTGCCTCAGCCTCCCAACTGGGATTACAGGCGCCCGCCACCACGCCCAGCTAATTTTTTTGTATTTTTTAGTAGACACGGGGTTTCACCACTTTGGCCAGGCTGGTCTTGAACTCCTGACCTCGTGATCCACCCAACTCAGCTTCCCAGATTGCTGGGATTACAGGCGTGAGCCACCGCATCCGGCCACATTATTGCTTTCTTACAGGAAGCAAAATGACAAGGAAAAAGACCCCTGTCATAGTGGTTCCATTCACTCATTCAAGCACTGTTAGTTAGGCGCCAATTATGGACCAGGAATGATGCAGAAAGAGGACAGGAGAGGACACAAAGGCTCTGGAGATGTTGACTCTAACTGAATGAAGAGGAAGAGACTGTTTATTAAGCAAAAGCATTGCTTTAACCTTTTAACCTGAAAGCCTGTAAGGTTCTCCTCCACCTGTTGTGGCTAGCCTGATTTTTATTACCTCACCTGTTAACCACAAAGGGGAGTTTTAGTTCTGGTACAAAACATGAAAAATAAAGGAGGCACAAGAAAAATATAATAAAATGCCAGTTCCTCCAGCAGGCAAGTCTATAATCAATATTATTTTAGCTCAAGGAGGTATGAGGTCACAATCTCAACAAACAGGCCTCTCTATTCAGGTCAAAGTCATCCCTGTCTTTCTCCCCCAGTGGTAGCAATGATCTTCTGCATCAAGCGAGAATGTTTCTGTAAGAAAGTGCAGTCTTCAAGGCTCCTATCCACCCCAAGAATATTTTCAGGGACATTCTACAGAACCCAGTGCAGAGGAATACATTGGGGATCAGGAGTTCAAAGATTCTTCCATGATTTATTTATCTTAGACACAAGCAGAGAACAAGATACCAGCACTGCCTAACACTGGCTGAAATAATAGATGAAAGAGGCACCCACTAAAACTCCTTGCCTGTCTCAAGAGTGGGTCTCACATCAGCCATGGTCATGAACTAGAGTCAGTGATGCTCCCAGGAAACTGCTAACATCTCCACAGAGCTGCAGGAAGTGGACACAGTTTCAATTACTCACCTCAGAGCAGGCTTAAAAGGATGGCATTTCCCATTTCCTGAACCTGTCATTTAAATCTCTCTATGATCTGGTTCCAAACTATCTTTCCAGCTTCAGCGATGACTAAATTCTTCACCCACCCTAATTTCCAGCCAAGCTGAACCACTAGCAATGGGTTTTCTCTCTACTTAACCATCCCTAGACATTTGCTTTAGACTGCTATAAGACATTTTTCCTTATTTCATAGAAAAGGTTGTAATCTCCCCATGATCTGCTACTGAAACTCTCCCTATGTTTTGAGCCCCAGTTCTCATGCCACTTCCCCCACAAAGGCTTCCTCAGATAGAAATAATCGCTCCCTTAGCATATTACTTATATTTCTGTGGAACTCACATTTTATTTGCCCATATTTTATCCTTGGCCTTGGCTTTCTGCTTTGTCACACTGTCTGAGCTCCTTGAGGACAATCGCACCTGACTCAATGCTGTGTTCAACACTACCCATGTGGTGTCCAATTACACAGTGAGCACTCAGCAAATAGTGTCTAGCTGAAATGCCATGAGGCCTGTTGGGGCCACATTTTGCCAGGTAACCTAGGGAAATTCGTCATTCAGAAATTCTGCTGAGTTCAATGAACAGCACTGAGGAAAAGTGGAAGAGAATATGCAGAGACTATAGTAGTCTCTAATTCCAGAGATTTTACATTCAATGAGGAGGTAGAAATTAGACATGACTCATACAGTTGAGTGGAAGTCTGGGAAAAATATTATGACAGATGTCCAAATCAGAATCCCATGGAGTCAGAGAGGAGGGTGCAGTCATTTCTGGGTGTGCTGATTGGAGAAGGCTTCCTGTAGAAGATGATATTTAATCTGTTGTTTGAAGGATAACTTGGTTGATGTCTGATTGTCTTACAGAGCAAACGCACCTGGTAGCAATACTGCTGAAGCATACTCTTCAAATGACCCTCTGTGGCAGATGCACCTGAATGTATGTTCCAAGCTAGGAAATCTGGGAGTGGCCAACCCAGAGATTTGTTCCTTGCCTCTGAGGAAATTCTGAACTCCCTTCCCATCTAGTGGACATGTCCCAGGCTGTCAGGGGACTGAGGCCCTGAGTTGGATGAAGGTTGCCGGATGGAGGTCACTAAGGAGTCAAGTGAAAATGCTGTACAAACTGCATGATGTTTGCAGGCAGCTGCGGCTTTCCTGCACAGCGCACTGCCACTAGGCCACTTTTCTTGTCTAGCCCACCACCACTGGAGTATATGAAGGCAGATGCATTGTCCACTTTGTTGCCCCTGGGCTGTTTCTAAATGTCAGGTGGTTCTCCTGCCCAGACCGCTGTCGCTGGACTCTCTCCCCTGGAGGTGAGCCCCTAATAAAACCCCATGTATCATTTGCTGGCTCTGGGTCTCTTCTTCAGCCTCCTGAACCTGATGCTTTCCCTATTGAAGTGAGTGTGGGTTTGGCACAACAGGTTCGCCAATCTTTCTCATGGTCCTGCTACTCAGGCCCCAGGCCTTGAATATTTCTGCAGATGACATGACATGAGCCAACCACAAAGTGCCAGATTAGGCCAAGAAAATGGCTGTAAGGTCAGACATCTGCCATAGCAGAGCCTATGGCCTACCTTGACACTAGTATTTCTAGTTCCTCTGGCTTATGGCCTTTGTATGGTTCAAGGCACAATAACCAAGAGACTAGAGTTTTAATCTCAGGCCTACCCCTCCCTTGCTGTGTGAGCATGAGTACATCACATTTTTTGTCTGGTAATCAAGTTCATCTTTGCATCTCCAAAGTCTCTGCTAGCTCTAAGATTACATGAGTCTTCCTTTCATGAGCCTGTAGTCTGAGCCAAAAAATTTAAAAGGAGTAATTCATTAAGGGGTCTTAAGCTCCACAAGTTGGAATGACATTCCATCTCTTCTGGCTTCCTGCACAGACCTTATGCCTATTCCTGAAGTATCTAAAATAATAAAGAACAGTAAGTGTAACATATAGAAAGTATTGTCATCCCTGTGATTACATTTCATGTTCTTAAAATCCATGTGACTTTTGAAGGATGAAATATGCATAAAGTGGGCCAATGGCCTTTGACGAGATTATGATATCAATGATGGAAGCACCACAAGTAACCACACACACATACACACAAACCCGAAACAACAGCAAGAATGTTTCATTCTAATCAGGATTTAGCTATGTGTATGCATACGCATAGTGGTGATGTGCTTTTAAGATAGGAGAGGCAAATTGATGACCTAAGATCAAATCCTATTAGAGAATTTGTGATTTGTGTTTAGATCATACAAGATTTTAAAAAGTTAGGATTTCAGTACCTTTAACCAGGACATGTACTCTCCTGTGTACCACAGCCCTCACTATTCACCATTGCTCACGTGTCTCCACAGGATGTGCTTTCTTATATGCATGCATTTCAAAACCATGAATTTGCAACTTGCAAATATGCAAATATCACGTTATAACAATTAGAAGCAGCAGCATGGTAGCCAGAATCTTGTTATAGCCTTTGGCAACAGCCTCTTAGGAAACTAAGTTCAATTCCCAATTCTGCTCTGTCCCTTCCCTTCCCTGGACCCAAGTTTCCTCTCCTTCAAAATGTGACATCCCATCTCAAAGTTTACTTTTAGCGCCCTCACTTGAGTGACCCTGAACTAAGTTGATCAAATTACAACAAATATGCAGGGTTGTAGTAGCCAAAGTTTCAGGGGTCACATTAAACTGGCCCCTGGGGTGAGTGGTCCACAAGCCCAGGAACCTCTTCCTACTCTGGGCCTGGTTTTATCCATTCACAAAGTGAGAGGGGTGGGTCACAGCAGGGACAGTACTCCCTCTAGAGGACACTGTGGAATTTTCTTTTCTTTTCTTTTTTTGGCATCTATGCAAGACTTTCTGCAAAGACCAATGCACAATGAATAATTATCCTGCATCCCACATGCCTTTTGAATATCTTACTGGACATTCATGGACACTGAAAAAATTATTGTATTTCCCTAAGTCATTTTAGGCTTATACTGCATATATTTTACTATTATTATACTATTATATACTGTACTCTTATGGCATATATATTACTATATTATATTAAACAATCACAAAATTGTTTATTAAAATTTCACTAGCTTCCCCCCATTTACATGTCTTACATATAAACAAAAAGTATTTTTCACATTTATCATATTCTGTTGCATTTTGCAGAATTGTAACTACCTGTACTACGTAAATTGGGAGGAGACTGTGCTGTTTCCTTCAGACTTTTACCAAGACTTGTTAACCACTTCACAGTCACCTCACTGGCAGCAAGACTGAGGTATTTGAGCTTGCAATACATAACACACTTGCATCAATCTGAATTTGTAGATGCTGCAGCCTCAATTATTCTATACACAGGTATAAGCAATTTATTATTTCATTTTGTTTTTAGTAAAGTCAGCTGAGCATTTATTAAACTACCACTTTTGTGAAACATTATATCTTTTGCTTTTATTTTTACTATATAATAGGGCATTAGATATTTTACAAAGAATACGGGCAGATAATGTTATATGAACTTTATTTTAGAATACTAAGAGTTACAGCATATAGTTACAAGAGAGTGTTGAGTCTGAATAGATTGAAATAAAGATGTTAGACTTTCCAAATGTAAAATCCTGAATTTAAAAATGAGCCTGGATTAGCTCCACAACAGTATAACAAGGGGTGACTGACATTAAGTGTTAGAAATGACACGAAAGGTGAAATAAACATGATACCTGAAAACAGTGGAATTTTAAAAATTAAAATAAAATTGAACTCATAAATACTGAAGTTTTTTTAATCTGTTAAGCATCTCTATTTTAATTTTAAAATATAAAATTTAATCTATAGATTAAAATCTTTCTCTAGTATGGCACCTCAGAAGTTTTCCTTTTTAGTAGACATTACCAAGATTATATCATCTAAGCTGTATTTATTTGTTTGATTATGCTGTGTATTTCCTATCACAAATTATTTCAGTGAAATGTTATGTTTTGTAACTCCCAACCAATCCACCAACTATAATTTTTTAATGGGGGCATGACCACAATTTTGAATTGTGAAACGCCGATTATACTCCTATATCTGTTTTCACAAAGCTGTGAAAATCACACCATATTTTACATCTTATATGACTATTTCTCATAAAATCTCCCAGTCAGAATTCACATTATCTTTGTGATTTAAGTAGGGCAGGGATTATTATATCTCTGTTTACCAATGTTCGGGGACATGCTATGCACACAAATAAGCTATAGTGCTCCGTCCACCACCTAGAACCCTGACTGAGTCCATCCCAGTCTAATGCACTTGCCATTCCAATCTGGTACATCTTTCCATCAAACCATTCTGCTTTATCAAAATCATCCCCATTTACCTCGCCAAGGCAGTGGTGTGGTGGTCATTTTCCAGCTTCTTGTAGGCCAGTGCAATGACTCGAAAGCCCTGTGTCGTGTAAATCTGAAGTTCGCTAACAAAACTAGTTGGTACTGTTTAGAAAGTAACACAGGGTTAGTATGCGGTATTTACTTAGGCAGTACTGGCAAAGAAATTCTTTACAAACATCCAACTTTTGCCCAGGGAAAAAAACACACCTCTACAAAAATATGTAAACAAGTCAGTGGAAATTCTAAACATAACTACATTGTCAGGGTGGACCTATTCAGATCTAGTGAAGCTAAAATGAGAAGGAAGCATTTGAAACAAGAAAAAAAAAAAAAAAAAGACAGGGAAAGTGTAGAATTATTTTTTCTTCAGTTTAAGCAACAAACATTTATTAAGAGTTTACTATCTGCCAGGCATTGGCTATGTCGAGATTAAATCACAGGCTCTCCACCCAGAAATAAGATTTTATACCTACAACATTCTGATCTTTGACAAACCTGACAAAAACAAGCACGGGGAAAGCTTTCCCTATTCAATAAATGGTGCTGGAATAACTGGCTAGCCATATCCAGAAGATTGAAACAGGACCCCTTTCTTACACCATCTACAAAAATTAACTCAACATGGTTTAAAGACTTTTAAAACCTAAAACTATAAAAACCTGGAAGACAGCCTAGGCAATACCATTCTGGATATAGGCATGGGCAAAGATTTCATGACAAAGATGCCAAAAGCAATTGCCACAAAAGCAAACATTGACAAATGGATCCAATTAAACTAAAGAGCTTCTGCACAGTAAAAGAAACTATCAACCGGGTAAATAAACAACCTACAGAACAGGAGAAAATTTTTGCAAACTATGCATCCGACAAAGGTCTAATATCCAGCAACTATGAGGAACTTAAAGAAAATTTACAAGAAGAAAAAAACAGCCTCATTAAAAAGTGGACAAAGGACATGAACACTTTTCAAAAGAAAACATACATGAAACCAACTATCACGTGGAAAAAAAAAAAGCTTAACATCACTGATCACTAAAGAAATGCAAATCAAAACCACAATGAGTTACCATCTCAAACCAGTCAGAATGGTGATTATTAAAAAGTCAAAAAACGACAGATGCTGGTGAGGTTGTGGAGAAAAAGAAGTGCTTATACACTGTTGGTGGGAGTGTGGGAGTGTAAATTAGTTAAACCACTGTGGAAGAGAATGCAGTGATACCTCAAAGTTCTAAAGACAGAAACACCGTTCGGCCCAGCAATCCCATTACTGAGTATATACCTAAAGTCATGTAAACCATTCTATTATAAAGATGCACGTGCACGCATATGTTTATTGCAGCACCATTCACAATAGCAAAGACATGGAATCAACCTAAATGCCCCTCAATAGTAGACTGGATAAAGAAAGGGTGCTACATATACATGATGGAATACTATGCAGCCATAAAAGAGAACAAGATCATGTCCTTTGCAGGGACCTGGATGGAGATGGAAACCATTATCCTTAGCAAACTAACATAGGAACAGAAAACCAAAAATCGCATGTTCTCACTTATATGTGGGAGTTAAATAATGAGAACACATGTATATATAGAGGGGAACAACACACACTGGGGCTTATTCGTGGGTGGAGGGTGGGAGGAGGGAGAGGCTCAGGAAAAATAAGTAATGGGTACTCGGCTTAATGCCTGGACAATGAAGTAACCCACATAAGAAACACCCATGACACAAGTTTACCAACATAACAAACCTGCACATGTACCATTGAATTTAAAATATAAGTTAAAAAAAAGAATGAAATTGAAAAAAACTCACAAGTTCTGCTCTAAGGATTTCTGTCTAACTGAAATCCATTCCGCAGATGAGATTATTGCTATGATCCAGGCCACTGCAGCATGCTGCGGAAAGTGTTTGGTGGTGTATATACCAGCCTAGGAGGAGGTGGTTCCGTAAAGGAAGGTTTTGGGGCTGAGGGAGAATCATATGCTTACGCGTGGAGGCATGAGAGTAAGCTGTGAAGAATTAGTTCAGTTCAGGAAAAGCACAGGATGAGGAGTGGTAAGGCCCATCTGGAAAGTTCACTGGGAGTTCAAACCCGAAAGCCTTATATATGATCCTAAAGAAAGTTGAGATTATACTGGAGCCTATGAGAGCAAGTAAAAGAATCTTTTTTTTGCAAAAAATCTGGTCACAGTACAGAGGGCAAATCAGAATTGAGGAGACTGGAGGCAGAGGGTCAATCCACCAACTATTGAAGTGATGAAGGATGATGAAGTCCTGAGCAGATGCAGTAAAGGACCATGGATTAGCAACTGATGAGACAGGGGCACTAAGGGTGAGCAAGGAATCAGGGATGACACCTAAACGGGATGGGTGTGGGGGATGGTGGTACCATTCACCAAAATAGAAAACTGGGAAATACAGGAAATGAGAAAGACAAGCTTTGTTTTCATATGGAATTTGGAATGCCAATGAGTCACCCAATTGGTGATGACCCACGGGCAGTTGGATTCATAGATCGCATGCCGTGGGAGCATATTTATCTGGAGGTACATATTTGCCAGTGTAATCCAAGTCAAGCTACAGACCTGTCTCAGGTTGGCAAAAGCTGGCCACCCTCTCTGGTGCACCTTTCATGAATGCCAGTCGGTCACCTCCCATCTCTTGGACAATGACTGTCATCCTTTGCAGTGCTGATGAGAATGGGAACTGATGCAGGATTGCGATTCCTTCCACTGGGACCTGGTTGGGGGATGGGGGAAAAGAGAGGCACATGCTGATACAGCTACTAGCTACGGGGAATCAACAACTCCCTCCTTAATCTTTATTTTAGCAAATAAGGGGGAAGGTCTCACCCATTTTCACACCTGAAATTCAAAGACACATCTGTAACCTTTCAAAAATTGCGGGCCAGAAGAGAGTTTCTCTTTGAGTTTGGGTGTTGTGAGATGAAGAGCAAGCAAGGCTTACCTGGCTGGCCGTCCTGCAGGGCTTAACTACCATGGCATGTGCCGGCACTCCCTTGACGTGGAAATCGTCCCCAGAAAAAGCCATTTCCTATTTCACGAATAGGATATTTCATTGCAGAGATTTATTTATTGTTTGCCCACTGGTGCTATGCTCGAACCCTCCCCTTGAAAAAATCCTCAGACCACCTCAATGTGTTCTCCGTGTCTCTGTGTTCCCTCAGAGGTGAACCAGATTTATTCCACCACACACACACACACAAAATAATGCATTGACAATGCTGTACAACTTGAAGGGCAGACACTTTTGAATTATTCATGCAATTTATCTTCTTTTCTCTGTTTGAATGTGCTGTATAAAGGCTCATCCTCCATTTCTGAAGAACCTAACTTGAAAGTCATGAGCATGAAGGGCCAGACTTCTTTTGTGTGAAGCAAGCACCTTTCTGTCATTCTTTTCCTGCACTTCACTGCTCTTCCTGCTCTTGCATGTCTGTTTAATTTGGATGGATGGTCCTCAGGGCAGGGCAGAGACTGTAATATACATGGTTAATAATCAGTAATTGCTATAATAATGACCCTAAAGTATACTGAAAGGGGCCTTTTACCCAAAGACAACTCAGTGCTTTGTAATCATCTCATTGAGTGGCTGACAAGATCCCAGAGAGGAAACTGCAATCCCTATTTAAAGATATGGAATCAGTAACCCAGAAAAGATGGGGGATTGGCAAAGTTACATTAGATTGCTATGAAATAATTAATGCTCCAAGAGATTTGGAAGGGACCCTGAAAATTGTCTCTTCCAGTGGTGCTCCCAGTGTGCCACCAGAGGCTAGAGCTGTATGCGGCTCAGGGAAAAAGGAAGGGATTTTAGCTAAGTAGTTGGGGATGCGTGTCCCCTAATCCCCATCTTTAGTCCCCACCTTTTATTTCAACCGGAGCAACTCCAGCTACTTAGCCTTTAGAGTGTTTCTGAAGACTGTTTCCTTTTATGAAAAGTTTCCAGATTTTTTAATCTTGTTTTGTGTTATGTGAACACCACTGGTCTAATTCAACTTCATTTTACGGACATGAGAGCCAAGGCTCCCAACAAGAGACATAGCTAACGGGATTCAGCAGTCAGTCAGAGCAGAGCCAAAACTAGAATCAGAAAAGCCGGATTCCTGAACTACACTGTTGGCTCTTAAATATAGTTTAGAGTCTCAACAAAAACTCTTCAGCTGTTTTCCTTTTTGCTGTTTCTAGTCTTGGAAATAAAATCAATACTAAATTAATAGGAATAAGACTTACAGTCACCATGACTATGAGTTATCCTGAGCACTAGAGAAAGTAATATTTTCTAATCCCCATATTCTGGAAAACCTCTGAAATCAGACAATGCTCAGAGAACAGTACAGAGAGATGAGATATAATTACATAATAATTACAATTATATGAATATGATTGAACCTTTAATATTTGCCAGGCACAGTACCAAGGATTTTCGTAATGCATCATCTCATTTAATCCTCACAATAATCTTATTATGTAGATGCTATTATTAGCTTCATTGTACAGATGAGGAAACCAGGCTTAGATTAGTTTGCCCATCACTACCATATGCACTCCACACTGGAAACCTCACCTTTTATAAGAATTAGATAGCTCTGATACTGCCTATGCTGCTCTGGCATTGAAGAAGCTTCTCAGATTCTCTGAAGGGCAGAGGCTTACCCAGGTGGTGGCTTCAAACATTTTGAGGTCCAGAGGGTCTCCCTGGATGGTCCCATCAAGAAGGATCAGAGAGTGGCAGCTGGCCATTGCTGCACACAGTGGGCCCCATGGCAAAGCCTGGCCCGAGTCAAAGCTGTGAACTTCCTGGAAGCTGAAAAAGAAAAGGAAATGGGTTTCCATTCTATCTCCTCATGCCAAAACAGAGCAACTTGGAGGTACACAAATATCCTTACAAAAAATAAGGTAATTGCTTTGTTGCATTAATAGCCACTCTCCAATCCTCCCAAATTAATAGTGCTTCATTCAGCCCAGTAGGTTCACTGAGTATGAGAAAGGTCTCTGAGGTTTGTTTTTTGTTTTGTTTGATACAGGGTCTCACCCTGTCACTCTGTCACCCAGGCTGGAAGAGGGCAGTGGCACGATCTCGGTTGACTGCAGCCTCTGCCTCCCAGATTCAAGCGATTCTCCTGCCTCAGCCTCCTGAGTAGCAGGAATTACAGGCACACAGATAATTTTTTTGTATTTTTAGCAGAGATGGGGTTTCACCATGTTGGCCAGGCTGATCTTGAACTCCCAACCTCAGGTAATCCACCCGCCTCGCCCTCCCAAAGTGCTGGTATTACCAGTGTGAGCCACTGTGCCCAGCTAAAAACATTTTTCAAAAGAACACTGCATCCTCCTCTTCCACTCTGGCCTCTTGTGTCCATATCCCAAACATAATCCCCTTCATTTCCTGTAGAAAGTGGTCTCATCTAAAAATCTATCAAAATGCAACTGAAATGTTATATACAAGGTTCTTTCAGTAATTCGGAGGGGAGGCCGTTAAATTCAGCTTTGGAGTCACAAGAAGAATGTCCTCTGCAACTTCATTACTCAGCCCCTTCTGAAATGTGCAGCACAGTAGTTGCTTCTCAAAGCAGCTTATCCTATTTGGAGGACGTCTGAATGTTGGAAGTTCCATCCTATATTGGGGCAAAATCTGCTTCTTGGATCCATTGAGAATCTACTTGCTCCCCTTCCTCCACATGCCAGCTTCTTTCAAACTTGTGGATCAGCTCTGCCAACCCCTTTACCCTCCCTCTGGCATTGCACAGGAACCTCTAGCTGTTCCTCTAATAAGTTTTATCAGGCCTCCCTCTCATCTTCCTTATTCCTCTTTTTTGGAAAAGTTCTTATTTGCAATAGTTTGTCTTGAAATGTGGTCTCCAGGATCAATTACTTTTGATAATATGGTCACTGCATTTATTTAAAGGTAATCTTAAATTGTTCTAGCCCTTTGTTTTGAAAGCAAGCATATTGCAATGGTAACTCACAATTCAGCCACATTGCTTCCTGGCTTTTGCATTCAAGCTTCCTTTTGTCACACTAAAATTTCAAAAATATCCTGGCTTCATATTGGCCCTGTTAGTTACATTCATTATCATGGGTTAAAAGAGCAACTCATCTTGGTGGTTTACCACATGCCCCGTGATATTTTAGTAAATATCTAAAAGGAAGAGACCACCAGCAGTATAGTTAACACAGAAACTTAATAAGCTCACACTGAAAAGCAAAACACATATAAGAAAAAAAAATATTATTATTATTATTATTATTTGAGACAGAATCTCACTCTGCAGCCAGGCTGCAGTACAGTGGTGGGATCTCAGCTCACTGCAATCTCTGCCTCCTAGGTTCAAGCAATTTCCCTGCCTCAGCCTCCCAAGGAACTGGGGCTACAGGCATCACCATCATGCCCAGCTAATTTTTTTTTTTTGTATTTTAGTAGAGATGGGGTATTTTTACTATGAGACGTACACTGTCACCAGTCTGTAATTCCAAGTATATAATTCTGCATTCCAGAAGATTGGGCCAGACTCCGGTTAGCACAGCAGATACATAAAGCTCTCTAGCATTCCTGTCTGTGCATTTTTATCTGAGTATTTCTGGTTTATCAATCCCTAATAGCCTTTAAGAGCTCTTAAAGTATCTGGCACAACAATCAGGGCTTTTGGGAAAACATAAGAAATATCAGAGATGAGCTCCCCTTTAACAAGAAGGTATTTAATAGCTTATAAGTCAGGTGCGCACTTCTTACCTAGAATTAATTCTGTTTCGTCTCATTTTGTTAATTAAATTTGCCATTTTTATTTTAAATTGTTTTAATCATCTGAATTCAACTTTGATCTTTAGGAATGAAGGAAGAAAGGAAGGAAGGAAGGGAGGGAGGAAGGGAGAGAGGGAAGGGAGGGAAGAAAGGAGGCAGGGAGGTAATTAGGTAAATGAATCATTTACCTAAACACTGTATCGTTATTTGTTAAATGTAAAAAGGCACTTTTAGAAACAGAAAGTTTTCAAAGTTTTATTAATAATATGGTGCCAATTCAATAAGTAGAACATTCAAAAGGCAGAACATATTGAGTTCACTTTAAATGAGCAATTACTGTGCGCCTACTATTTGAGCCTGGTACAGTGCTACAGTACTAAGGATGCATATCTAAATAAGAAGACTGCTCTCAAGATGTTCACATATTTGATTAAATGCACACATATTTTGTAGAAGCTGAAACAAAATCACTAATGAACCATGAGAGAAAGTATATATCCAAATCTATCTTCTAGGAAAAATGAAAAGAACTTTAGAGTTTAACACTTTAAGAGGCTTCTTCTGTAGACTAAAGTGGTTAGAAGCATAGGATCACTTTTTAAATCCAGGAATTAGACTTCTTTCTAAATAGTATTTTAATATGACAATTATTAAACTATGTGTAATTAACATATTTTATGGATAAATTACTTGTCATCTGGTATAATGCAAAAGAACCACAATGAACCTCGCATGTACAAAATGCTCTGTGATTTAAGTTATAAGTGTTTGAGGAAAAAACTTTTATTTTCAAACAAAACATAAATGACAAGTGCATCACCTTTCATGTTCTGATCCCACTGAAGGAGAAAAAGCAGGCAGAGACGCAAACTCAAACATGGCCACAAGAGGGCCACAGGAGGGGGATGTGCAAATCTTCACCACACCGTGCTGAAAACTGCCAAAACAGTGTCTTTTCTTGCTAGGAAAGAAGAGTTTGGCCAGGTGTGGTGGCTCATGCCTGTAATCCTAACACTTCAGGAGGCCGAGGCGGGCGGATCACCTGAGGTCTGTAGTTTGAGACCAGCCTGGCCAACATGGTGAAACCCTGTCTCTACTAAAAATACACATAGCTGAGCGTGGTGGCACACGCCTGTAATCCCAGCTACTTGGGAGGTTGAGGCAGGAGAATCGCAGGAACCTGGGAGGCCAACGTTGCAATGAGCCAAGATAGTGCCATTGCACTCCAGCCTGGGCAACACGAGCAAAACTCAAGAAAGAAAGAAAAAGAGGAGAGGAGAGGAGAGGAGAGGAGAGGAGAGGAGAGGAGAGGAGAGGGGAGGGGGGGGGGGGGGGGGGGAGGGGAGGAAAGAAAGAGAGAAAGAAAGAGAGAGACAGAGAGAGGGAGGGAGGGAGGGAGGAAGGAAGGAAAAAAGCTCCATCTCAAAAAAGAAAAAGAAAGAAAGAAAGAAAGAGAGAGAAAGAAAGAAAGAAGGAAGGAAGGAAGGAAGGAAGGAAAAGAAAAGAAAAGAAAAGAAAAGAAAAGAAAAGAAAAGAAAAGAAAAGAAAGAGAAAGGAAGGAGTTTCCAGCAACCAGAAAGTAAAGTTCTCAAAATTAGAATACCAAGAAAAATGAGTACGCTTGCTACAGTTCTACAAATGTTCCTCTTCCTGAAATTCAGGGTACAAAAGTAAGTGCACGGCTTTTCCTCCTCCATCACACATCAAGAGGCTTCAGCTTGTACAAAGAATGTTACTTCCTTAAAGGACAATGTCCTGGTAATGTCTAAATTACTTATACTGAGTCAACTTCATGCTGGAAGCAAATTACATTTTAGCAAGGACTTGAATGCAGTGTCAAAACTTCATCTTCTGGATTTGTGAGTGGCATGGAACTGGGCCTGGGAATGAGGGGAAATGTCCATGTTTTACTGAGGCTTTGAAGAATTCAAGAAGAGAAATTAAAAGAAAATACTTTGGTAATCATTGTTCACCAAAGTCCAAATGTCTCCATTAGTAGTTTCAAGAGAAAACATGGGATTTTGGAAAAAGAGATGCTAGGATGAATTGAGTCCAAGGTACTCACCCATTCCTATCACAGGACACAACTCCCCAGAGGTCCAAGCCATCCCTTGTTAAGGTGCCTGTCTAAACAGAAACAAATACTCCGTTTACTCTGAAGATCCAGGCCAGGGGCAGTGGCTCTTGCCTGTAATCGCAGCACTAGGGAGGCTGAGGCAGGAGGATCACTTGAGCTTAGGAGTTTGAGACCAGCCTGGGCAACATAGCGAGACTGCCTCCCTACTTAAAAAAAAAAAGAAAAATTACAGTGGTCCCATAGTGAAGACACCATAGTGTAGACAAATAATGTCTTTTTTAATGGGAAAATACTTCACGAACATATTAACAGGATCAACACTTCAAGGAGGTGCACCATGGGCGGGTCTCTAGAGTGCCTGGTGGAAGCGTCGATGAGCTCATGCCAGTTGTCTGACAAGCTGGCACTTAATCTTTTTGAACCTTCCTGTCCCCCATAACAACAATAACAACAACAAAAGCAGCGTCTTCCTTACAACTTCAGAGGATTGTTTTCAGGCTCTACTGGTAGACTGAATGGATGGGAAAGTCCTTGGTAAGCCTATAAGAGCTATAAAATGGAAGAGTCCTAGTTTCATAGCAGACATTTAAAATATGTCATTAAAATAAATAATAGAGTAGAATTTTCACCTACAGGGCACTGTGTGTGACAAGACTTGAAAGAAATGGCTTGCTATTTGATACCTATTTGGTTAAAAAAAAAAGGTGTTGGTATTTCTCTCAGTGCAATATAATGGTTAAGAGTTCAGGCTAGGTTTAAACACCAGCTGTCTGATGAGAGCAAATCACTCAATTCCTTTAAAGATCAGAACCCTTATCTGTAACATGGTCATAATCTCAGAGAGTTGTGGTGAAGATTAAATGGGATAACATAAAGTGTTTTATTTAATATCTAGCATACAGTAAGAGCTAATAATAATCATAACTACTCATAATTATTACTCATTTTTTATTCAAATTCAGGTCACAATGATCTCTCCCGTCCTGTTTCTCTTTCCAAGTCCAAGGATATAATCTCATAAATAGAATGCCATTTCTTACATTGCTAGTTTGATCGCAAAATAATACAAAAATGGTAGCAACAGTCATGTTGACTTTCTGTTCTTGGTAGATCTTTCTGATATTCCAAAAATTATAGAATACAGCCCTGATCCCACTAATTCTCAACTATCAAAACCTTGTACTGTTGTATGAATGTAGTTTCAGTTTGGGAAAATATAAGAAGTTCTCAAAATGAATAGTAGTGATGGTTACAGAACAGTGAGAATGTACTTAATGCCAGCAAACAGTGTACTTAAAAATGGTTAAAATGGTAAATTTTATGTTATGTGTATTTTACCACATTTAAAAAGTGAATTTAAAAAAAGTCAACAATAGCAACAAAAGCTTCAATAACTCTCCGCTCCTTAAAATATATGTAAACAATTTCTTAGCCAGACAGTCAAGGTCCACAGATAGCTTCTCCCATTACCAACATCCTGCTCTAGTGAAAACCATACTGTTTTCCTTTCCTAACTCCATGCTTTGACTCATGCTCACCTTCTCACAATGCCCGGAAAGGCATTTCCATCGTATCCTCTTACAACTCCCACCTTCACCCCAGCATATGTGTGTACAGAGTAAATAAATACAATAAAGAGACAGTAGACTAAGAGGCTGGTTGCAAATAACTGACAAATAATCAAGGGTAATTTTAAGCAATAAACTACAAATGGGAAAATATAGTAGAAGTTTGGTAGGAGTCTCATAGTAAGGCGCAGTTTAATAAACTCTTCCTTTTGTATTTGTTCATTCAATCGTATTTGTTGCACACTAACTATATGCCAGGCAATATTCTTAGCATCCAGGATACAGCAGTGATAGTAAAGGTTTTAAATTTTGTTCTTTGTATGAAGGCTTTGACTGCAGAGAAACAGGATGCTATTTTAATTGCTTTCACAAAATATTAAAGCTGGAAGGACCCAAAAAGATTCTCCTATTTAGTACCCATTTATCCTCTAAACCTTAGACTCTGTGAGCTCAAGAGACATATCTTTCCCAGATCATGCATCTAACCAGGGATAAAATGAAGACAGGTACCCACACTCTATGTCCCCTGCCTTGCAAGAAGGTAAAAGTACATACACATGATGACAGCGATGGTAAAAATGATGAGAAGAATAAAGATGAAACACACATACCTTGTCAAAGCAAACAAGGTTTAACTGTCCACATACATTGATCCTCTGGGGGCTAATGCAGAAGATGCCTCTCTTCTTCAGCCTCCTCTGGGCATAGATAATGCCTGTGGTCAGAGCAGCAGGTAGAGCAGGAGGAACCGCAATTGTGATGACGTCAAGGGCTTTCTTCATCACCTCCTCTGGAGGTTCCTGGACAACAGTAATTCTTTCATTGTTAGAGGCAAATCACTAGTGAACAGCATATGACTCTTTTCCTTCTTTTTGTTTACTTCCTTAGGTCAAATTTCAAGAAATGATGTCAGTGAGTTAAAAGCATGACCATGTTTATAGCTCTCAATATCTTTTGCCAAATAGCAATTTCAAAAAGCATGTGATTTATATTGTTACTAACAGAGAATAACATACTAGTCTGTCATGACCTCACCAAAACTGGGTATCTGATTTTATTTAAAATCCCTCACTCAATACCTATAAAAAGGCTACTTTATTGAAGTAAATATATTCTCAGATATTCTCAGGTTAAGATGGTAAGAAATGGCATTCTATTTATTAGATTATATCCTTGGACTTGGAAAAAGAAGCAGGAGTGGAAGAGATCATTGTGACCTGAATTTGAATAAAAAATGAGCAATAATTATAAGTAACTCATTATTATTAGCTTTTACTGTATGCTAGACATTAAATGAAACACTTTATGTTATCCCATTTAATCTTTACCATAATTTTCTGAGATTATGAGCATGTTACAGACAACAGCTCTGATATTAGGAGGGATTAATTAATTTGCTCTGGTCACACAACTGGTATTTAAACTTAACCTGAACTCTTAGCCATCATATCACACTGAGAATATCTGAGAATAAATATATTTTCAGATTGAAAAAGAAAAATGGTATAAAGTGTGAGAAAAGAGAAGTATATTGATATATCAATAAATAAACTGTTTTATCCCAATATCCCATGAAATCTGTTTGTTATTAAGGAACTTAGTGATCAATTGCTTATTGGGATCTGGAAATCTATATACAGGTTTCAGTTCTTGGCTTTATTTCCCAGGTTTGTAAACCACATCCTAGATTAAGGCCAACAGGTACAGTACAAAACATATATAGATGAGTATGTATGAATTTAGTAAAAGAGCAAAGACAGCTTACCCCGCTAAGCACATAGACACACAGAGTATAGATCATCCCAATGGTGGCTGTTCCTACAAGGCACAGGAGGAATCTGATAGCGTCCCTGTACAACTTAAAATTCATTGGCTTGGGGTAGAGAATGGATCTCACAAGGTCTCCCTTTGCCGTGTTGAATCCTGGAACAACAAACACACATCCCACACTCTCAGGATGACCAATACTACCGCTAGTGCTCTTCCAAACCTCAACATTGCCTTTGTTTTTCTCTATTGATATTTAAACAGTGTTTAAGCTCAAAGGCAATTGAAAGATAATTAGAAAAATACATAAATGCTAGAATGGAATTACCTACCTCAGAGCCCAGTACTCTCTCTGGCCTTCCTTCCCTCTACTTCCCATTTCAATGAGTCCCAGAGATAGGAAACCACCATACTGGGTGCTCCGCACAGCTTTGCCAAATATAATTTTATTTTAGGAAAATGACTCAAATGCGTGCACACACAGGCATGTCACTTGAATTAAAATTAAGGGGTCTACTAGATACTGATGGACTCACTTTTCTAATACTTGTAAGTTTAAATTTTCAGTTTCTAGCCCAGCCTAGAAAGAACTTGGGATTCAGGATTAGAAGCCCTGAGTTCTAGGTCCAGCTCTGTCTATTGCTGGCCATGGTATTTTTTAAAGTTCATTTGAATTGTGTGGCCTCAGCCTTTTCATGGACACAGTAGAAACAGTAAGCATCTCTGCTCTGCTTGTTTGACATGTTGAAAAAGTTTATATACTGCAAAGCACATATGTAATAATTATTGTTACCTATACTATCATTTTTACTAACAGGCATATGCTGTAGTTCAATTAATATTGAAAAAATATGGATTTATACATATTTGGTTTGTTTTGTACCGGTAAGTAATACTTCTCCTTACTTGTGGGTACAAAAAAAAATAAACATAGAAAGAATGATAAGACCAAGTATTTGATAGCACAAAGGGTGACTGTGGTCAATAATAACTTAGTTGCATATTTTTAAATAACTTAAAAGGTATAATTGGATTGTTTGTAACTCAAAGAATAAAGGTTTGAGGGGACAGATACTCCATTCTCCATAATACGTTTATTTCACATTGCAGACCTGTGTCAAAACATCTCATGTACTCCATAAATATATACAGCTTACTATATACCCACAAAAATTAAAAATAAAAAAATAGGATTATAAAGAAAAAAAAAGCTTCTCCTAAGCTAATAAATTTAAGGCACTAGACAAACTGGGCAAAAACATATCATTAAAAATAACACATAGGAGGCGATGCTAACCAGTCTGCAGCACCACTGCTCTCACGGTCCCAGAGCAAGCTGCCTTGGCCTGGATAACCTCTGTTCCACAGAAGAGAACATGCCGTTTGTAATCCGCTTCACTCTGCGTTTTCCAGGGCACAGAGCTGTCCATCTTGGGTAACGGAGTTTTGGTGACTGGAATACTTTCTCCTACAGAAAACAAGCATCTCGTTTTGTGAGGTAGGATGCCTTCCCTCATTTAAATCATGCCTGCACCCACTCATCATACAACAGACATTTTTTTGGGAGCCTACCATGCGGCACAGACAACCCTAGGTATTCGGGATACAAGCATAAACATAGTTCTTATTTTTGAGAGGTCTGTAGTTTAGAGTAGGAGATGGATATATAAACAAATAAGTATAATACAGTATTATAAATACGATGGGTACTGTAAATCAAACATGGATGTCAAAACAGCTGGACATAACTATTTAGGGAACCACAATAGTGCAGTCCAGAATGTGGAGTGTGGAGAATAAAGGGCCATGAGAGCTATGTAGCAGCCAAAGCACGGAGAGTCCTGAGTGCCCACACGTATATCTAAAGGCACTGGTGACTGAAGGAGGATGCGGAGAGATTCAACCACTTTAATCATGAGAGTAATATTATATTTATGTATAGAGAGAACACTCTGGCCACAGCACAGGGAATGAATCAAAGTTGGGTGAGGCTGGAGGCTGGATATCCAATTGGGAAATAATCACAGGAATCCCAGTTGCAAGGGATAAGGTCTGAACTATGACAGCTGGCAGTGGGGATAGAAAGGAAGCACTGCATTCAGGAAACAGGAAGTGGGGCTGGGTGCAGTGGCTCACACCTTTAATCCCAGTGCTTTGGGAGGCAGAGGCAGGCAGATCGCTTGAGCCCAGGAGTTCAAGACCAGCCTGGACAACATGGCAAAACCCTGTCTGTTCTAAAAATACAGAACTAGCCAAGTGTGGTGGCATGTGCCTATCACCTTAGCTACTCTGGAGGCTGAAGCATGAGAATTACTTGAGCCTGGCAGGTGGAGGTTGCAGTGAGCAGAAATCACACCAGTGCACTGCAACCTGGACAACAGAGTGACACTCTGTCTCAGAAAAGGAAAAAAAGGAATTAAGAAGCTACAAAATTTGAGAGAATGTTTGTATTGGCAGGTCACAGAGATAGAGAAATTTACAATGCCTTTCTAGTTCCTGACTTCGGAGAATAAGCAGAGGGCAACATTTCCCTCAAAATAGGGATTATAGGAGGAGAGAAAGAATTGTCTTTTGGCCACTGTGAGTTGAAGCTGCCTTGAAGAATGACCATGTTGAGATGACTTGTTGGCAGTTTGAGATTTATTTGGATTTGGAGCTCAAATGAGAGGGCTGGACTAGAGATATTTAGCCAGAGCTCATCAGCTTCTAGATGATAATTAAAGCCACAGAAGCAGACGAGGTTACTTAGAGACCACGTATAGGGTGAGAAGAGGAAAGGACAAGGATGTACATGAGCAGCACCGACAATTCAGGAGATGGAGGAAAAGGAACAGCAGAAGAAACTGAATGGGTATATTCAATGGTAGAAGGATTTGGAGAGAGAGAATTATCTTAGAAAGTTATAGAGGAGAGAAGTTTTCAGAAAGAGAGCTGGTCAGAATAGTCAAATGCAACAGAGAGGACAATAAGTTGAGAAATCTAAAGAATCAGACCAGGTGCAGTGGCTCATGCCTGTAATCCCAGAATTTTGGGAGGCCCAGGAGGGTGGATCACTTGAGGTCACAAGTTCCAGACCAGCCTGGCCAACATGGTGAAACCCCGTCTCTACTAAAAATATAAAAATTAGCCAGGCATGGTGGCACATGCCTGTAATCCCAGCTACCTGGGAGGCTGAGATGAGAGGATCACTTGAACCTGGGAGACAAGAGTTTGCAGTGAACAGAGATCACACCACTGCACTCCAGTCTGGGCAACAGAGTGGGTGAGACTCTGTCTCAAAAAGAAAGAAATTTAAAGAATCCATTGGATTTGGCAACTGGGACTCTGGCAACTTTTGCCAGTGCAGTGGGAGGGGCCTATTGCAGAGGCTTGAAGTGCTAATACAAGATAATGAATGAAGTCATGAAATAACTGTGGTCTGTTCTGAGGAACAAGTTTCTAAAGTCTTCTTCTGGCATTTGCAGAGTGGTCAACATAAAGTCAGAATCGCATTACAGTACATTCAGGCTACTTTTGTTAGGAAAATGGTACTTGGCACTGCAAAGGTCCCAGCATTACAGGAATTTTATGAATGTATGGATTTTTGAGGGGAAAGAACATGACTTGACATGACCTGCCACACATTTATTCTTTGTAAGCTAACATGGAAAGAAGGTGTGTACACGTGCCTCCATTATATGCCTTTCTGGGGTGCTGAGAAAAATGGATTTCATTTGAACTTGAATGGGAACCACAATCTACCAATGAGAGTGCATTCACAGTCTCTGTGTGTTCACAGCCTCTCATTTCATCTCCAAGAACTACTTTATGATTCTTCTTTATCTTATAGCATTGTCGGCCAAACATCTCATCACTACGCGATGCAAGTGACAAATCAAGCTAGTGTAACCTTAAGCAAGTCACTTCTCTCTGGACCTCACTTGTCATACCTGTGATGTGAGATAGCCTCACAGGTCCCACCCAGATCCAGCATGCCACTTGAAAATGAACTACAGTTAGTCCAAAATACCCAGGGTATACTTTGGAAGTAGCAGATTTACCAAATGCTGCATCATGAATTTCTTAACACATTCAAGCCAGGCCAGGGAGAATTTGGATGACTCTCATGGGTTTCAGGATGTTGCTGATGCTTTTCAAACCCTCCAAGTTTATTTGAAGACATGTTTCATTTAAGATAAACAAACATAAAAGCAACAGACAATTCTGAAAGCTCTAATGATCTCTACAATCAAAGTAAATGAGAAGGCTGTAATAATCTTTTGTTCAAGAAAGAAATACTAAACATGCAAACACTTAACATTGTATCAAGCTTAATACATAGAAAGAGCTTTAATTTGAACCCTCAGATCTATCCACAGCAGGACTAAGTAAGACTTGTGGAAACAAGAAGGTCCCATAGCAGCTGATGCTTTGCAGCCAGCCATCGTCACTTAGGTAGAAGAGGAGCAGGGACCACAGTAGCGTGAAGTATGGCCAGCCCACAGAGGTTGTCAGCTGTGGGGATGGAACTGTACCTGTCAGCATGCCTTCATCCACCACACAGCTGCCATCAATCAGAACAGCATCACACGGCATTAGTACTTTGTTCCCTGTCAAAATTAACAAATCTCCAGGCACCAGGAAACGTGATTCCAGCTCTTGAACTCCAGCTGAAAGTGTAAAGAGACAGGGTTGAGTCAGGTTATTTTCCCACAAAAACATAATCCAACATCTATTTAACTTGGATATCAATGAAAAAGCAACCAACGCTTTTTTTTTTAAAGGGGAACATCCCTCAACCTTGATTCAAAATTTGAAAACAAAAAGAAAAAAAATTTAACAAATTAGAAAATAAAATAAAAACCTTTGTGTGGCAAAATAATAACTAAAAAAAAACACTAATGACAAATTCAGAAACAAATTTGAAACTTACATTACATATAAAAGGTTAATAGTCCCAGCTGAGCACAGTGGCATTGCATTACAGTATATTAAGTATATTACAGTGAATTGCATTAAGTATATTAAGGCTACTTTTGTTAGGAAAATGGTAATGATGCCTATAACTCCAGCACTTTTGGAGCCCAGCGTGGGAAGATCATGTGAACCTAGGAGTTTGAGACCAACCTGGACAACATAGCAGGAGGCTCATCTTCACCAAAAAATAAAAAAAATAACACCTGTATCCCCAGCTACTTGGGAGGCTGAGGGAAGATTGCTTAATTTTGTTGTTGTTGTTGAGATAAAGTCTTGCTCTGCCACCCAGGCTAGAGTGCAGTGGTGTGATCTCGGCTCACTGCAACATCTGCCTCCCAAGTTCAAGCCATTGTCCTGTCTCAGCCTCCCAAGTAGCTGGGATTACAGATGCCCACCTCTGCGCCTAGGTTATTTTTGTATTTTTAGTGGAGATGGGGTTTTACCATCTTGGCCAGGCTGGTCTCGAACTCCTGACCTCGTGATCCACCCACCTAAGCCTCCCAAAGTGCTGGGATTGCAGGTGTGATCCACTGTGCCTGGCCCAAAGATTGCTTAATTTTAGCTAAGGAGGTTGAGATTGTAGTGAGTCAAGGTCGTGCCACTGCACTCCAGCCTGGGTGACAGAGCAAGACCCTGCCTCAAAAACAAAACAAAACAAAAAAATCCTAATGCATATAGAGTTCCTTTTGAAAAAGAGATCTCCAGCAAATAACTGTATAGCAAAATTGCTAGATATTGTCACTTCACACACACACACACACACACACACACACACACACACACACAAGTGGTGTGTTAAGTGTCTACGAAGCTGTTCATTCTTACCCATGATAAGAAAAATGAAAGCTCTCCTCCCTTTCTGATTGCCTGCCTGCCTTTACTTCTTTTTGTCCTTATTCAGTCTTAAAGCCATTAGGGACTATGCAAGATAGGCATCCCTGCAGGGGGCTGGGTGGGGTGGGCTTGCAGGCTGCTCTGGGGTACTGAAGCCTAAGCAGGTCAGAAGGGTGTTTACATGGCCTGGTACAGGGTGTCAGAGCTTGAGCAGGGAGAGAAGGGCCTCCATGGTGGCAGTGGCCTGCTGTGGGATGTTGAGACCTGAGCAAGGTGAAAACGGTTTCTACGTAGGAGTGGGATGAGAGGCAGTGGGAGCATCAGCGGTGATAAAAGATTGGTTGTATCCAGCAGAAATGGTACAATCAGTACAGTAGCCTCCCTTGATCTGCAGTTTTTCACTTTCTGTGAAATGCAGTCAGAAAATATTAAGTGGACAATCCCAGAAATAAACAATGTATACTTTTTCAGCTGTGCACCATTCTGAGTGGAGTGATTGAATCTAGCACTGTCTGCTCCATCCCTCCTGGCACAGGAATCCATGCTGTGTACACTCCCTGTTTATCATTTTGTCAGTCACCTGGTTTTTACATTGCCTGATGCAGCATTCCTGTGCTTGTTGCAAGTTACTCTTATTTTATTTATTTTACTTGTATCCCAAAGCACAAGAATAGTAATGCTGGAAATTCATTATGCCAAAGAGAAACAGGAAAGTGCTTCCTTTAAGTGAAAAAGTGAACATTCTCTACTTAAAGAAAGAAAACAAAATTGTATGCTGAGGTTGCTAAGAACTACAGCAAGAACAAATCAACAATCTGTAAGATGTGAAGAAGGAAAAAGAAATTTGTGCTAGGCTTGCTGTCGCACCTCAAACTGCAAACGTTACAACCACAATGTGTAAGTGCTTAGTTAAAATGGTAAAGGCATTACATTTGTGGATCGGAGACATGAACAGAAATGTGTTCCAACTGACAGTGATCGGACTCAGTACTACCCGTGGTTTCAGGCATCTATATGGTGTTTGGAATACATCCCCTGCAGATAAGAGGGGATTACCTTAGATACACTGAAGTTAATCAGCCAGGTTTTTCACTGAAGAAAAGAAGTTACAAATAGATAAAAGAGACACAACTACAACAAGCCCGTTAGTAATAGATTCCAATTAAAAATATCAATGTACTAGATAGAAATAATATGGATGTAAATTTGTGTGATTATAAGAATATATACATATGTTTGCTAGTCTTCTTGTTTATACACCAACAATAATGAGCACATCCAGTGTCCAAATTTTGGTTTCTACATTCCCTTTCTCCTGATAAAAGGGGTTCCTTAGAGAAAGGACTGAGTACAGGTTAGGCCAAGAGAAGCATAATATAAGCTAGAACATCTTGTTGTGCCATTAAGTAGAGAAATGCTCACAGAATGATGGGGACATATTACAAAAATATCGAAGCCGACTTTAAAGGGCTCTCACTGCCTAAATTTGTAACAATTTGAACATCAAAGTAAATAATTATAAGAAAGAACTATAACCATCAAATAAAATAGGGATTTATGAGTTCATAATGACATAAGTAAATGAATAAATAAATTAAGAGAAGAAACAGATTTTCCTTGCAGCAAAATGACAATTAATTAATGTAGGAGGAGAGATAACATTAGAAAATCATCATTTGGCAACTATCAAAGTAATAATTAATTTAGCCAAGAAACATCAATGTATACTAAAACTAGTGAGTGAAAATTTGATGAAGATGATTTATTTATATCATCTCAAAGTGTCTCTCAACAAAATAACCATTAATTACAAAGAAGAAAAGAATAAATTTGCAATGAGGAAAACTGGCAGACATCATTTAATTAATTAAGTTAAAATCACCAGTAATAGAACAAATTGAAATTATGTATCACCTGAGAGGAAGCAGTGAAAACACAGCATCATATCTGTGATATTCCAGCCAAAAATGCATAACCTGAATTTAACCAAGAGGCAACATCAGACAAATTCAAACTGGAGTACATTCTTTAAAATAACCAGAGGCAGAAGAGTGAAAGTCACAGAATTCAACTAAAAGTGGAAGATTAAAGAGACATGGTAAACAAAAGCATTGTGTAATCCTATATCTCTTTTCTATTAGAACATTATTGAGACAATTGGCAAAACATGAACAAGGTCTGACCATTAGTTGGTAGAAATTTGTGAATATTAACTTCCTGATGATACTGCCCTTCAAGTAGGAAAATGTCTTTGTCTTTAAGAAATACACAGTAGACCCCATCTGTGCAAAAAATATAAAAATTAGCCAGGCATGGTGGTGCACACTGGAAGCTGAGACAGGAGGATGACATGAGCCCAGGAGGTCGAGGCTACAGTGAGCTATAATTGCATCATTGCACCCTGGGCAACAGAACAAGTCTGTATTGATAGGAAAGAGAAAGAAAGAAAAGAAGGAAGGAAAGAAGGAAGGAAAGAAGGAAGGAAGGAAGGAAGGAAGGAAGGAAGGAAGGAAGGAAGGAAGGAGGGAGGGAGGGAGGAATGGAGGGACGGAGGAAGGAAGGATAGAAAAGACAGAAAAGGAATACACACTAAAGGTTATTCAGGTCATGATCATGGAGCTACATGTCAGCAAGTTATTCTCAAATAGTTCTAGAAAAAAAGTTAAACTATTCTTGCAACTTTTTTGTAAGTTTTAAATTACTTTCTAAAAAAAGAGACATGTATTAGATAACATTGCTCACCTTATAATTAGAAAAATCTACAAATTTTCCAGCACATTCTATTGGCAAGATTGTGGGGAATCAGTCACTGACACATTTCTGGTGCAAATGCAAACTGGCATAATCTCTATGGAGAGAAATTTTGGCAATATTTTTCTAGCCAAAGTACATATGCACTTATTTCTTAATCTAGCAATTTTACTTATCAGAATCTGTATCAAAGATATACTGGCAAATATGAAAACACATATGTACCTGTGCAAAGCTTTTTATTACAGCACTATTTATAGTAGTAAAAAACCGAGAAAAATTTTTTCAATAGAGGATTGAGTGAATAAACGATGGGTCTCTCCACACAAGAGAGTACCATGCAGCGGAAATGATGAATGAAGAATATCTACATATACTAAATAGTCCTTGGGAAACACAGTTATATATGGAAACTATACACAGCAGGAAATATGGTTAAATATGCTTGACATACTTCTATTCATCTAAAAGAACAGCAGTATAAATATATATCCTATTTTGTATGTGTAATATACAGCTATGAATATTATATATAATCTTTTTATATTTTTAAATGTAAGAATAAATAAAAACCAAACAAAAGTGATGATTATAGAGAGAATGAAGACATAAGGCAGAAAGGGGAGGGATAGGAACCGGACTGCCTTGACTATCTTCTGTCTTATGGATTTGACTTTCAAACCATGTAGATATTTTCTATATCTATACAAAATAATACAAATATAAATTTGAAAAGCTAACAGTAAAATCTAAAGCAAAAGGAGCGAAATAAACCTATCAAGTTGTTGGCATAACCAATAGAAAACTATTTTGAGTGACTTTAAAACTAAATTTTTGAAAAATGTATAATTTGTACATTTCTAATAGGATGTCACAAATGGGAAAAAACAATTCTACAAATATCTAAAATTGTTTTTGGGAATTATATTAGTGCTGAGTGCATTGGTTTGTCACTCTGAGATTATTATATACAATGGGATAAAGCAAAAGAGTAATCTCTTCCTGTCATTAAAAATCAGAACTTTTGGTATAGAGAAAAGAGAAACACAAGTACAATGAATAATGTAAAGTAAAAAGCCCTTCGTTCTAAACTTGAATTGGAAATTAT